ACCAAATTTCATCAAAATATCTCAAAAATTGCGACCTGTAGTTTGAACAGAAATTTACATGGGCAGACGGGCAGACAGACTTAGATGAATTCAGATAACGTTTTTGAATCGATCGGCAATTGCCGCATCAGTGAAGACTCCATTCTCCTTTCTCTAAAGTCATTTTTCTTCATTCTTTCGTTCAATAATCTATGAAAAATTTAACTCACTTTTGCATTAATTTTTTATACACTCGCTTTTTATATACTTATTGTTTAAATTTATAATGATTTCTTTATTTTTATACCCACCACACGGGGGGGTATACACAATTTGTTTTTTTTTTCCAAAATATATGTAAAATTCAAAAAGAGGCTTCAGAGACCCTATAAAGTATATATATTTTTGATAAGCGTGAAATTCTGAGTTGATTAAGTCTGTCCGTCTGTGCGTTTTTTGTCTTTGGCACTCTCCTGGCCGCAAAAGTGAAGATTTCAATTTCAAATTTGATAGAAAAATTGAAAGCTTCTGCACGCAGGTTGATATTAAAAATGAGCCAAATTGGTCGTAGCAGAAACCCGCAGTGGGGCATAAACTGAATGTAGCTCTGTTTTTTGAAACAAAAATTTTTGGATTTTTGCTCGTTGCTCGGAAATTATTCAAGCTAGTAACCTAAAATTTTCCACATTTACTTTAGGAGACCCTCTACTCTTTACTCACAAAATGGAACCAATCGGCCCTTGTCCACACAAGCTTACGAATAATTAAATTTAATTTTTTTCACTTGTTTGTGGTTTAATGCTTTTTATCCATAAAGCAAGCAAGACAAAACGTTTAAAACTATTTTGAACACATCCTTAAATGAAGATATATTGTCTGCCTAAAAATGGATTAACTTTAAAATGAATATGGTAGGGACCGCGATTAATTTTTTCTCAATAATACCAGCGATATGGGTATCAAATAATAGAACTTGGAAAGTAGAATGCGAAAAGCTTAGTAAAGTGGTGGATATGCGAGATTCGGCACCTGCCGAATATAACTTTCTTACTTATTGTTTCTAAAACTATAAGTTTTTGTTTACATTATCCTATAAAATGTTATGGTAATACGAGTCCTCATCGTGTTTACCGCTTAAGATTTTTTAACGCGAAAGCCCCTAAAGTCATTTATGAGTTTGATGGGTATGAAACTGTTTTTGTTTTTACTCACATTTCAAATAGATTCATATATTCAAGTCATATAAAGAAAATATATATTTTGAAATGAGGAATGATATGATCAAAAATTCGAAGTTCAAAATGTAATCCAAAGATATATCGTGACCCGATTAGGGTCGTTATCCCAATTTTTGCAGTCTTCAAAAGTCTAACAATAAACAACGGCCACGGGAGGTAGCCTTAATATTAATGCAGCAGATCGTTTAATTTTTATTTCTAAACACATCGAAGGGAATGACAAATTTAGTATGTCTCATTGACGAGCTGGCTATAAGATATAAGAGCCATTGTAGGTCAACATGAATTTTTTAAATAATTTTATCTTTTTATCTATCAAAGGGACAAACACTTGGCAAATAACTTGCGATGGCTTTTAACTATTTATGTAAACACTCGAAATACTTCTATTCAAAGCAATGAAAGTAGAGCAATATTTTCGTAGAGAATCGCAGTGATTGCGTTTTCGCCACAGAAAAGTGATCGATAGGGATCCATAATAGGGAATTGGGCGCTTTTCAAAATCTCATATATCAATAATCACTTTCTAGGCTGCGATTTACATTCAAAGAAAACGTTTTCTTGTCTCGGAAGAACCCGAAAGCTAGAAAAATTAAAAGGCTTTTCCGGAGTACCTTGTAATACTCAAAATTAATTAAACATCAGATTTCCTCAAAAAAATGCGTAAATTAATTTAGGTTAAAATCCTTTAAAATCATCCGAAATACAGAAAAAAGTAAGAAAATTAACTTAGGCCGGAACCGAATTTTTTATATTCATTGCCGTTATCCTAAAAAATACAAGAAAAATAAAAGAACAGAATTTTTTTTCTATAATAGGGAGAGGGCGTAGTTGATTTTTTCTATTTTAAAAAAAAAAAGAAGCTTTTTTTCGTATAGGCGTATGGGCGTTGTAAGCGTGTTCTCTGAAAAGTTTAGATCAATTCTAAATTCTTTTGCAAATTTTTCGCTAACGGGAGAATGTTTACCACAAATACTACAAAGTTGCGCAAACAGAGTGATGGGCAGACGAATAGGTGGACATGTTTAGATGCATTCCAAATTTAAAACTGGTCAAGAATTTATATACTTTCTTTCTTTTATAGGTAGGTGATTTTTTAAATAGTAAATAACAAACATTATAGCTAACGTTCCCTTCTACCGGGTGTTGGAAAAGTCTGCAGCGTTGTTTTGCGTAGCGTTATTTTCCGCCAAGTCAAAATTTCAATACGCCTAGTAAGGCGAACTCTTATAAGCTCCTGCAGACAGCAGGTGCATTGTCGAAGTGCTAAAAAGAAACGTAAAGCATTTCATCAAACCAAACCTTGGACTCCTCCCAATTTGGAATTGATTTTTCACGGCTCTGGACTCATGTCACTTTTCTATAACTTCATAGTTTACTGCTACTTTCATATCTGGACTAACAATTAATCCGATTTCGTAGGCGACTTCCTGAAAGTCAGCCTTTCAGTTTCGAAACCGGAAAAAATCGTTACATTTACCAGTTCCCTCCACCCGCCAAATATAATTCGTTGCGTATCTCTCTTCGTATTTGGAAAGATACAGGTTTATGGATTTGTTAAGTTTACTTGAAAAACTTACGAACTAAGTAAAAAAAAATTACTTTTTTTTGCAAATATTTTTCACCAATATAGTCTCCCTCAAAAGTAACCCAATCGATCCAGTGTCTCTATAATATTTCATTGCCCCCTTTTTACGGAGACTTGTTATCCTCGAATTGCTCCAAAATTTCTTCTTTGTTGAGTATCCTATGAGACTTTAAAAATGGACAACTGTTGGGGGCCCATACGTGTAAAATGCATTGAGCGGGACAGGAACTTGACTGTTTCTGTGAGATTGAAGAATGTGAGCAAACGCGGCACCTAATATGCAGTCAAATTTCTTACGCCTCAATCTTGATTCAATATGTGACAAATGCTTGCCAAAACCCTTTGAAAAAACTTTACATATGCTTGCCTCAATGGAGCAGCTATACGTAACCGTCAACGTTTAATTTGTGTCGACGCTTTTCAGCAACAAAAACTTGTTGACGGACATGTACTCATTTTTTTTCCCACTTTATAAAGACACTCACGTAGACTGCCTCAAACGAATGTGCAAAGTGAACAAAATTTTGGCGAGTGTCAATACTTACACAAACATATTCCCTAACTTTTGTAGGAAAAATCTACGCGTTTTCAAAAATTGGGTGTAGTCTTAGCAAAGAAATGCTGCTTTTTTATCGAAGTACGTCTCAACAGCCTGTCACAGCTGGGTTCGAGACCATCACACTCAAGTAGTTTCGCCCAACGACGTGCTCGTCATTTCCATCATCCACGTACGTATGGCTGAAAAGGAATTTTTCTGAGCTGTATTCGTGAGTCTAGCATTTCGAGTGATGTAATGTCTCTTTTTTGTCTGGAAGTAGCTTCCTTCTTTTTCACCATGTTATTGAGAACTTTTTGAAATAAAAACTGCCTGAATAAAGAACTTTAGTTCGTTTTTTTTTTCAGAGAGATGGTCTCCGGCCTCTCTTTCGTGGATGTGTTTTTAACAAGTCTGATACTTTAGTGTAGGGTTGTTTATCGAACTTTTGTAATTGTGTGCCTGTGTTATATGAAGCAAATCAATAACAAAGTATTGTATAACCTGTTGCCGTAAGAAGTGATTTCTTCCAACGAGTCTAAGCCTGTCGGGCATGAAATCAATGTGACATCAGGTTTTTCGCCGATGCAAATTTTATCGGTTAGATTGACTTGAATGACTGCGAACTTTCATGTGATTTAGAAAGCATACGCGGATCGCAACGATGTTTTCTTTGTTACTGTTCACCGATTAAAATTTTGAACATGTCTATAACCCACTGATAAAGCCTCCAAAAAATTCATGAAGGGCTTGTTAGTTGAATTTGTAAATATGGTGTAACCGTCTACCATTTTTTGAATCAAAGGAGGTATTATAAATAATTGGTCATATAAAAAGTCTCCGCGGTTTCGAACTACTTTTTGTAGCCTGCTCTTGTTAAATCTTGCTGCACCAGTTGCAACCTTTCATCGAATTTTCGACCAGAACGAGGTGCGTCTTTGGCATCGAAATTCCCGGAACGGAATCGAGCCAATCACTCTTGGGTCCATCGTTCACTTCGGCATTCTCAAAGTACACTTCACAATTTCTTTTGTAGCAAAAAGTCATCTCATAGCGTATATCTTCAAATATTTCACCAATTTTCAAATCAATTAACTTTTTACACGAGCAAGGAATTAGAAAAAAAAAATTGAAACGTCACCTTTTAAGGCAGTGTTCGTTTGAGATAATCAGGTTGCCCGGTATATAGGCGTTAACATTATACTGCGGAGAAAACCGCGGAGACTTTTTATATGACGTAATTCAAGGCATAAAACTGTACCACGGTAGCACATAGCAGTAGCAGTTAATGATTAAAATAGTGTTTGCAGTATAAAATTCTATTTGTTTGTTAACATTTTCACAACATTTGATTGAAATTGATTTTCATGACAATTTCATCTAAATTGAAGGAAATATTGTGAAAGTAGTCCTTAATTTATTATTTATACGCTTTAGCTTACGGCAAGAATAGGAAACTAGAAATATTTTGCAATCGTTATAATCACTTGGCTGTCCCACCCTCTTACATAGATATCAGTATAAATAAAGTTTTTAGTTTATTGCCGCGCTTTGTGCACAGTCAATGCATTCAGTGAATAATGAAAAGAATACTTTTGTATTAATCGGTCTGAAATCGTAGAAAAATAAACAATTAAAACGAATTCAAATAATTAACGTGATATTCAAGGAACGGGGTCTTAACGGTCTCAACGATAAAACAATAATAGCAAAAAATAGCAAACGTCTTGAATTTGTCCAGTCTTTGCTATCTTAAAAACAAAAAACAAAAAAGAGAAGAAAGCGAAGAACTATAAATAAAGTTTGGTCAAAATCAACTTCTTGGCGTAGAAACGAGGTACATATATGCTTCGCTTTTATAGCTAAGATAGTACATTTCTTGGCTAAGACAAAATGAATCAAATTAAATCAGTGAGGAAGATTTCATATTTTACTTCTTGTCAAACCAATCAACAGAAATTTATTATTTATTTTAATTATTGATTATTATCTATTTCGTTCTAATCTAATCTAATCATTATTTTGCAACAATTGCTTGTCTAATGCCATTAATTAACAGATATTTGTCAAATAAAGCAGTAACCAAAATAAACCGGGTCATGTGCTGAGAAAGCAAGAGTTACGACTTGAGGCAGTAAACGATTATGAAATTTAGATTAAAAAGACATTCACTTTTCTAGAAAATCTCTTTTTAAGGTCTATATTGTTAAGCGTCTCCTTACGCTTGACGATAAATGTTCTAATTAATCGGCGAAAGATTGATTATAGCATATCGGTCAATAATTCCCTAAGAAACAAAGTAAGTTAAATTTTTCAAAATTCATCAACGTAATCTTAATGAAAAGCGACTCTGTGAACTTCTTGAACACTTCGGTAGATACGTTTGTCATTATCCTCTAAATACATTTCAGTTCTCTCAATGGTCTCATCACTTGATCAAAAATTTTCACTGGAGCACAACAGTCGCTTTAACCAGGTAGGTAAAAATGCAGTGTTTAAGGCATCAGGCAATTTTAATACTGTAGCCAACGACTTGTGACTTATTGTGGTGTCTTGGTGCAAGAACACTTTTGAGAATAGATAACAGTCGCTTTAAGCAGATAGGGAGAATTCAGTGTTTAGAGCAGATGTTTGGGTATCGAACGCAAGGGTCTGCAATATTTGCTCTGCGTTGTTATTACTTTCTAAAGGCAGTCGATGAATATCATATTGTAAGCATACCCACCGTGTGTTAGGTTTGTCGTTGTGGCTTGCACTCAGCGGCTTAGGTCTTCGTGACCATGCTTAAAATGAGACGAATCACCGAAAAACCGTTACTTGCGATTAAAAAGGAATTGCCAAAGCCCCTTTTCAGGCAAATGTTGACCTTGGACGGTCTATGTTTACCCATTAAAGATCAATGTGTAAACAACACACGGATTTTATAACACTTCCTAAAAAAATTATACGAAAAATTAAACAAGTAAGAAAGTTATAGTCGGCGGAGGCCGAATATCGCATGTCCGCCACTACACATAAACAAATTTTTGCTATAAAAATGGAGCTGCATTCAGTTTACGCTTTACTGCGGGCTTCTGCTTTGACCATTTTCAATACCAACCTGCGCACAAAAGCTTCCAATTATTCCACATATTTGAAGTCGATATATTCATTTTTTCGACTAAGAGAGCGCCAACAACAAACACCCCAGAGACCCATAGACGGACAGACATGGCTAGATCAACTCAGAATTCCGCTCTGATCAAGAATATATATACTTTATAGGATCTCTGAAGCTTCCTTCTGGATGTTACATATATTATGGAAAAAAGGATTCAGTGATGGGTACAAATAAACGCGAAAAGCTATTAAGTAATATATAAAAAAACTGCAATATATTTATTTTAAAACGTTACTTAATTATACAATAATTGTAATTATATTATTCATAATTAAAATTAAAATTTGGACAAACATGCCTATGCGTATTATATTATAAATCGTTACAAAAATCCCATATTTTATGATTTCAATTTTAAGTTAAGAAACGAAACTGAAAAGAAAGGAATAACCAAAGGCACAATAACAACGTGACTTGCGGAAAGATTTACAAGAATTAGCAGAAATTTGGCGGAAAAGGGAGTTAATATAAGGATGTCGCGATGAGTTTAGGTAATAATAACTTGTTTGTACAAAGTTATATAAGCGGCATTTTTGCAGAAGGCAAACTTAATTGAGCCAAGAGAGTCAAGTCGGCATATCAAGGCGTATTAAAGCGTTGTATATTTAAATTCCTGAAAATAATTTGGAAATAAATTTCGTAAGAATTGTAAAGAAAACCTACACCAGACAGGCAAGAGACAGCCGTGAAGTGGAAGCTGGAAGTCGCACAGTTGTCAGGCAAAAGACGTCGACCACTTTTTTCCCTTACTTTTAGCAATTCTTTACACTTAGTTAATTCGGAATTTGAATTACTTCACATTGAACATTAGTCGACTATCATTGATTGTAATTATTAGAGAGATATTATCATCGTTCTTTACATAGACCACTCGAAAGGTGAATGAACAGTTCTTTCTAGCACTTCATAGAAAAGACGATTTTTCTAGTACCGTATGTAAAAAAACTGTTTCGTTTCGAGCGATTTGTTAACGCCATAAATCATTTCCTTAGAAAAAATCAACTTAATAAAAACTTAGTTACAACTTAGCGGTACATTAGTTAGAAAATAAATTACAAACGATATGTAGAGAAGCGCAAGGAATTTTTTGAAAGAAAACTTCCCACCATTTGGATTATTACATAAAAAGACCTATTATAGAGGCAAAGACAATTATGACGATGTACCGCAATAATTAACTTTACTTAATGATAAACAATAGATTTACGATCAAGTAGCCGATCAAGAATATATACTTAATTATTTTTCCAATACATTTTCCCGGATGCTACAACGAAAGTATAAATCGAGCGCAGACACACCTTTCGCTTAAATAGGCGCATTGCCACATTCTTAACAGGCTAAACCTTCAAAGTCTTCAAAGTCACAGGTCAAATTTCAAAAGTGGAATCTCCTGCATTGGTATTACTGCGCTGACATAAGTCGAAATGTTAACTGTATTAGCATTGAAGGTAACGAATACTTCATTTTCATCCTTTTTGTACCCATCACCAAAGGGTGGGAGGTGTACTCAGTTTGTTCAAACATGTGTGAATTTGGACAAGAATTTGAAAATTTTCTAAGCCGATCGAAAGACATGACTACAATGCAACATAAAGTGCGAACATCCTTGTTTTTGCTTCTCGCTCATAAACTGCAATAGACACATATACAATATTTCCAATTTTATTCTACAAATATAACAAATAAGAAAATTATAGTCGGGCAAGGCCGCCCATCAAATATCCTATACCACTTAGTCCTTATTATTATTATTAGGACAAAAAAATTATACTAGTTTGGGGAAAAAGAAATCCATTATTTTTTCGGTAGTTGGCTGCACTGATAGATTTCTCGGAAAGTATCGATCAAACAATTTCAGATTTATGCTCGTTGGAAAGGTGACATTTCGCAGTAAAAAACATTTTTTTGCGAAAATGCAAGCCAGGCGGCTAAAATTGTGAATGGTGTTTATGGTTCCGATACTGATAGATTCCGTTCAGGAATTTTTGATGTTAAAGATGCACCTCGCACAGGTAGGCCGGTCGTCGAAAATGTCGATAAAATCGGAGAAATGATTGAAGTTGACCGGTACGTTAGCAGTCGTAACATCGCCCAGGAGCTAAAAATCGACCATAAAACAGTTTTAAACCATTTACACAAAGCTGGATTCAAAAAGAAGCTCGATGTTTGGGTGCCACACCAATTAACAGAAAAAAACATGATGGATCGAATTTCCATCTGCGAAGCCTTGGCCAAACGGAATGAGATAGACCTATTTCTTAAACGGATGGTGACTGGAGATGAGAAATGGATCACATACGATAACCCTGTGCGAAAACGATCGTGGTCAAAGAGCGGTGAAGCACCTCAAACGGCCAGGAAGGTTTTGCTATGCATTTGGTGGGACTGGAAGGGGATTATTTATTATGAGTTGCTTCCATATGGCCAAACGCTAAATTCTGATCTCTACTGTCAACAACTGGAACGTTTGAAGATAGCGATTGACCAGAAACGGCCAGAGTTGGCCAACACGAGAGGTGTCGTGTTCCACCAGGACAACGCTAGGCCACACACATCTACAGTGACTCGCCAGAAACTTCGGGAGCTTGGTTGGGAAGTTTTAATGCATCCGCCATACAGTCCGGACTTGGCACCAAGCGATTATCATCTTTTTCTTGCATTGCAAAATTTCTTTAATGATAAAAAATTGGAATCTAGGGAGGATTGTGAAAATCGACTACTAGAGTTTTCTGCAAATAGAGTCAGGACTTCTATGAGAGAGGCATTTTGAAGTTACCTTTAAAATGGCAACAAATCATACAACAAAACGGTGCATATTTGACCCAAATCGGACAATCCGAAGCATGTTAAATAAAGTCCCGAAGTTCATATAAAAATAATGGATTTCTTTTTCCCCAAACTAATATATTGTTTCTATATAAAGGCATAGCACAAGTTCAATACTTACGTAGGAAAAGATCCAAAAATAGACGTAAAAGGTCCAAATTTTGTAGAGTTTGTTTTTGTATGAAATTTCTATTATGGGTCAATATTCTTCATCACATATTAACACTTAGACTTTTCTGCGCTACGTAACGCCAATTTTCGTGAACATCCTTATTAGGGTAAGCTGTGAAAAATAGGCCGAGATGGTAAAAATTTGACACAGTTAATTTTTTTATGTTAAATTACTATTATGGTGTAATTGTCATCATGAAGCATTGCAAATTATACCCTTTTGTCATTGGATGTTCATTTACCAAGCTGCGTGCAAGAACTTCCAATGTTTCGCTTAAATTCGAAGTTGATAGCTTCATTTTTTGGAAAAGAGAATGTTCACAACAAACATTACACCTTCATTACTTAAATCGTTTCGCAATTTGACGCCGATTAAGTATAAAAAATTTTGTGGATTCTCTGAAGCTTCCTCCTGGATGTTAGAAAAGATTTGACAAAACGTATATACCCATATCATCAGGAAGATGAAAGAGAAAAATAATAAAGGTTCTTGTCCCCCAATGGAAACAATATAACAGTACAGAGATGATGTTTAAACAAATAAAAGATCCATTAAAACAATTTAAGTAACAAAAATAATTTAATTTCTGAATGGATAAGCCAGTATATGATGCCTCTTCAAACTTCTCATTACATTAGAATTATCCAGAGGAGATATTGGCAATGGTCTTACGTGATAACTTAGTCTGACAAAATGCTTTGATAAGATTTTTGATGAATGGAAAACCCAGGCCATCATGAATAGTTTCGTTGCTAACGAACCATGGGACATTAACGGTAATACCGAGACTCTTAAATTGGTATTGACTTTGCGCATTTCCATTGAATTGGAAATCAATCTTAACTTACCATGAAACATTAATGCTAAAACGGTGAAAGGGTTAGGTTAAAGGATTAGATTAAAAGCTCTCACCTTTAGTTAGGTTAAGGTGCAGATTTAATAGTTATTTCATTTATGCGGTTCATAGGAAGAGATATTTTAATGTTTAGTTTACTAACTTCTTCTTTAACTAATATGTGTCAGGTAGGCCAATCCGTGGGACATGGGCCATCTAGATATTTTAATATTTCTTTTGCATTCGAAGTTCCACAGAGGTCATTAAGCTGAAAAGTCTCTTTTAGCTATTGACCAAAGCTTCCGACTTTCCCCTATCTGCGGGAAATAAATTCTTTTCGAAGAGTACCTACTGGTCGTGTAGATTTATTTAGAATGATGTCCAAACACTCCGGTGGAATCACAGTCTTAAACGAAGCTGTAGTACGTGAAGATGATGTATTGAACTCATAAATCTGGTCAACATTCGGAAACTTAGAGGGAATAAATCGCATAATTGTTTCGCCTCAAGTTTCCGACGCTATTCGTGAGAGAAAGTTTAACTTACGACGCGGATCGACTACGAACTCCGCTTCGCCACTAGCCCCTCTATTACGAGAGCCTAGCAAAGTACGTTGCAAAGCCTGCCGCTGTAACAACCACGATAGACCTCCTGGATATACTTCAGTTAAAAGCCAAAAATGTACCTTAAAACAAACAACACTCGGTCTGGGGTCAGTCGACACTGTCATCTTAGCAGTCTTGGCATAGCTAACCTTAGGCGAAATTACGTCGGATTCCTCACCCGCTTCATGAACCCCTTTAGATGGCGTGTTAGGAACAACAGCTTTTTTGGGCGCCTCTGTGTCACCGTCTTGCGAGTTAAAGTTTTCAAGAATAATAAAGTCTTAGTCAATAATAACGTCTCGATTAACACTGTTCTGCCAGGACCGGCGCTATTCGACTGTGATGGATTGTCTGATATTGAATGAACTAAATGACAGTTACAAGGAGCCACCAATAAAGAGCCAGGGCTGCCAAAAGGGGCTTGCAAACAGGTTGGGTTTGGAGGAGACAACTCCTGGCCACTTTCCACGTAGCCTTTTATGTACCAAACAGCAAACTAGCGCACTTCAAAGTTTCAATTATATCAAACATAGGCTTTTACGAATTTATCACACAAACCTAATAATTTCTCCTTTACTTCAGAGAGCCCTATTTTCACTTGGGATAACGTTTCATAAAAATTACTGACTCTGTCTCTACAAGCGGGGCGCGACCAGTTTAGTGCCTTAGCATAATCGATTACAGCATCTACACACCTACCTTTTAAACATGCGGACGAGAGATGCGTTAAGCGATTACAGACCCCGCACATTGACATCTTACCCACGTCAGAATCAGGAACATACACGTAGTAATACCAATAAATTGTATCCACTAGCGACACCGCAGCTTCCGACTATTATTAACGGGTACTCTAGCGTAGTCCACATAAACGACAGACCTTCAGCAAGTATCCAGCATTATTGACCCAAAGCTAGCCAAAATTAACATATGAGTTCTTTAGCACCAAACAAGATAATATAACGTATGTGGATCTGTATAATGTGCGTTGTTGTTTTTACGTAATTTCCAATTATATCATTCCTTTATCTTCCTCTAATTATCGCTGTAGTTAGTCACTCAATTCAATTTTTAAAACTTCACATTCAATTACTTATAACAAGAGATAGCGAGAAGCACATATATACTTTTTATACAAGAATACTTCTACAACAAGACTACTACTTATGTGAATAAATGGAGAAAATCGGCCGTGCCCCCGTAAGGTTATAAGTGATTGCATTTTCCTTTTTTCACTTTTTTGAGGTTTTATTCCTATTAATCATAAAGTAAACAAGGCAGAAAGTTTATAATTATTATTTTATATATTTCTCAAATCAAAATGTATTAAAATACGTTAATTCCAAAACAAATATGGTGGACACCACGACGTGGTGCATTAGCTATTTCTTAATAACATCATTGATATGGGTATCAAATAAAAGGATTTGGAGAGTAGAAGGCGGCACGCGCGGAGGAGCTGATATTTACTTTAGTATGTCGATATGTTTTCGACCTCGGTCTCCCGCCAATTTATCCTCTTCAGCAGCATGAACAGCGCTTACCCAAAAAAATTTATACGGTGGGTACTGCCGCTTCCACAGGAACCTCCTTGCGAGGAAAAGTCAATCTGCGCCGCCAGAGTTAACTGCACGCGCTTCCCTATCTCACTGTACATCCTATGCTGCATTATACATTCGTATAAATATTTTATATGATTGGTGGAATGCCTTGTGTATTTCCGATTTCGGGAACGTCATACGATCCTCGGTGACAAACTCGACCTCTCACCTTTTTGCAGGCATCTTCTTCAGACTGCGTTAAGTCCTCGACGAGCGCTTGACAATGCAGCCGCTCACCTCCTGCGCTGGTAGCGCGACCTAGTGGATTAATTTTGTTTAACTCTATTGGCCATATGAGTATCAAATAAAAGGTCTTGAAGAGTAGTAAACGACAAGGTAAATGTGTTAACTCTAAGTTAATTATAGCGAACGTCATGACGTGGTCGATTAATTTTTCACAATAATACCTTTTAGTGAACTAAAAGCCAAACGTTAAGAGGTATCTATATGAACTCTCTTTTATTTAAGATATTGATTGATTCATGCTATTTATATTTGAAAATGATTTCAATTAAACGACCAGCTCTGGACTTTTGCAAAATTTCAACCCTTCAACATCAATTCTTGCCTCATCTTTTTTGGCATAATTTTCATCCGAAACTCATATACGCAGTTTTAGAGATTACAGAGTCATTCAACTTTGCTCCCAATGAATTGTCTTTCTCACGAAATATGGGGGGTGTTGCACTTTTTTGTTGAAGCCACATATCGTCGAAGTAGAAAATATTTGATACAATGCCATTTTCATGTTCAAGGACGACAATTTCAGACCACCAACTAAAGCTAAAAGCTATTTGTAACGTAAAAGTGCTTCAGATACGTCAGATATGTTTTCTTTATAACAAGGCGCTATAATTCTTATTTACAAAGTCGTTTAACCAAATATGAGCTTCTTCCCACACGCACGAAACGTAACCACGATTTTGCCGTTTTCTTAATAAGTCGTAACATTTTTTGTAAGCAGTACAACTATGTACCTATTCCATTCCACAAATAATGGCAATGTTCTAATGACATGAAAAAATCTTGATCCAAACCTCAGTCAGAAAGGTGTTTACTTTCGGAAACACTATAACTCTATATTTGTCCAAGTTAAGTGACCCAACATAGAATATATAAGCCTTATAATGTCTAGAGCATATTTTAGGAAGACGCTGTCTGCAGTAGCTATTAAGAAGAAAAAGCTGTCTACATAACGCTCAAAACAAATATTTTGGTAGCCCTCTGCCATTTTTGCTCATATTCATTCTAGGAATACAAATTTTGCAATTTGGCTTTTAAAACGGAATAATCCACCACTGGTTGCGCTGATGGATATCTATATTATTTTCTAATATCATGTGAATCCCGTTGCCCTGATTTTTTAAATATACCCTTGCGTGACTCTAATACACGGATGCTGTTCATTTAATTGACTTTAACAGCGAGTTTATGAACGAGTTCCGTTCATGTAAATTTTTTGTGCACAGAAAACATCGAATCTAATAATAAAATTAGCTTTAGTTGATGGATTGGAGAAACGGAATAAACGTGCAAATTTTATTCTCCTGGAAACAAAGTATTCTTTAGACTGCCTATATGGAATGTGTACATAAATTTCGATCAATAGATCTACGGAATTAAACATCAAGCTTCAAGTGTCCTATAACAAATTTCAGCTTAAAGAATTGGAACATTGAGCCAAATGATATAGTTTTAAATCAGTTCTTGACGTGTCGACATCGAATCTAGAAGTTAACACTGAATAATTATTGAGATGCAGTAGTATATGCGAAAGTTCACTGCCTTTCCTCAATTTTCCTTCCTGAATTGTCTTTCGCTAAATTTCCCGAACCATAAGTAGAGTGTTAATACCTCGTCTTTAACTATCTAAGCGTTCCATATTATTTTTTACGAATATCCTCAAAATAGTGATACAATTTCTAAGATAACCTTTTTAAAAACAACATGCAAGGCGTATTGTTGCGAATACATACCAAAAATGATTTATAAAAAATTTAAATAAAATATGCAAGTTTATATTCATATTGATTTACAGTTCATGAGTCCTCAACTAACGTGAAACTATGGCTAAGCAAATGGAAAAATCATCAAATTTCCCTAAATATCGTGCCGATGGACAAAGCACTTTCAAGGAGAAAAACGATGATAAATTTATAGTAAAATATCGTAAAAATTTTTATGATATTAAAAAATTTATAGTAAAACATCCAGGCGGTGTAAATACGTTAAAAGGCCTCAACAATTCTGATATGACATCACGATTTATTAAAGCACATCCCCATTCAGATGCTGCCATGTATTTAATGAAGGAATATCACATTACGAAGCCGACACAGCTGTTGACAACAAAAACTTGTAAAAGCAATGATTACAATATAAAAGATGCCCAATACGAAAAATTAATAGTATCATCAATGGAAGACAGCAATAATAATATCATTGATGAAAATGTTGAGGTAAGATTAAGGATATGTAACAATTAAGAAAGCTACTTATTTCCCAGGATAAGTAAAAGTGCATTCTGCATACCTCTGCCACATATTTCCTATCCCATAGAGATTGTGTTTTGTTTTTTCTCTTCCAAAAACTATATCGTGAATAACTGAACTGACTCCATCAAGTACAATACATCGATTCTTTCAAAGCACACATACGAATGGGAAGCGTATAAGTTTAACAACAGATTTGCCATTGAATTTTTTGTTCATACCCTGGCAAAATCCGAAAGTTTTTAAATTAATTTCTCCGAGATTTCTCAGCAAATCTCTTCGGGAGTTTAAAGTATTATTTTCATTATTTTTCCAGTATGTTTTGTTAACTGCAGATGGGTGTTACACTCTGCTAGAATATTCGATGTTTCGTTTTTTAATAAACGGTCGTATCACGGCACCATCCACGGGTATTATCTCTCTTTTTATCTTTTTTATTTTTGCAATATGTAGTATATTTTTGCAATTCGTTATAAGATTAATGCAATATTTTTTTTTTTTTTTTTTTTTATAATCATGAAGTTGTAATGCTAACGAGGTACTTGTTGAGTGATTGTTTAAATGTAATTCTACTGCCAATATGGTTAGAAATAAATACTGCTTACGTTAAGAATCGCTTGTGATGGCGATTCATTTAAAAAAAAACATTAGTCCACTGGTAAAGGTACGTAAACTTTTGGTTTCGAATATAAACGTATATCGAATTCAATTTTGGTTAATTCTCTTTCAATTTCCATTTTGCGATTACGAATCCGCAGAGTTTCCGTGGTCATGGGCATGCGATTAAGTTCTTGAACCAGAGAAGACATTTCTGTAATGGTTAAACGATTGTCAATAGTAGATTATTTTTTATTAGGTGTAATTTACTTTTCTCAGCATTATTTAAAGCTAAAACACGTTCTTCTTCGGTAAGCGCATAATGACCGAACGGACAATTGATATCACGAGACAGTTCTTTTAGCCGTTCTTCTTCTTTTTCTCGTTTTTCCTTTTGTAAATATCGAGGTAAACGAATGCTGTCTCGAGAGCCCAACTTTTGCACGCTGCCGGTGTATCTTTTCTTACTGACTTGAGAACAAGCTGTCTGACGACTTCGGCCACTCGATAATTCTTCTAGTTTGGGTAGAATATTTTGATCGATATTCATAGTTGGCATGTGCTCGCCGAGATTGTTGTTTTCTTCAGCAGGAACGAGTTCCGGAGATTTCTCTGCATACCCATTATGTAATAAATGCGAAAGTTGTGCACTACCTTCAAGCCCTTGATAACTCTTAGTGGATTTTAAGTTTTCTTTCTTAAGCTCGTTGTTATTGCAGTTATACTCAAGATGGGAGGACGTGTCATTTTCGTGAGTGCTTTGCGGACAAACATTGTTACCTTTAAAATCACTTAAGCTGCATCTGTTTCAAGAAAAAATTTGCTATAGTTATTTAGTGTCGCACTCATCATTGCACTTACTTTTTTAAAGCTTCATATAGGAATTCTTCATCGTATATATCTTCGGTTTGTATACTTTTATCACAAGCTTCAAATTTCGAATTCGCAGACGTAGCACTGCCGTTTCTAGGACACTTTACAGATGAGGCAGGATTTAAACAACATTTGTCATTATCATGACAATTATTGGCGAGTTTATTTGATGCGGCGGCTTTATGAAAACTATATGACCTTCTGGTGGGCTGTTGAGGCAACTGGTGCTGCATTTCTCCTCTCAGGGCGTCTTTGCTTTCCAAAGCCACTTTGTGCTTCGAAGCCGATCTACGAGCCACATGTTGTTCCTGCTGTTTTTGAAATTTCGGGTGCAATTGCTGTAACTTCCTTTCTTTCTCATGCTTAGTTTGCATTAGTTTATTAGCGGTGGTTCGTTGCAATTCTTTCAGATTAAGTTTATTTTCGCGCAAAAAGTCTCTTCGATGATTCATTTCTATGAAATAACAACTATTTTAAAAATGTACAAATAACAAAAAAGAAAAATTGCAGAATAAAACGCCGAATTTGTTCTGGCGCGATTACCTTGACTACGTCACGATTACTTACTGGGTAAATCAAAAAGTCCATTTAATGTTCTCAATGAGCTACTCGAAGTTTTACCGGCCATTGTAATATATATTAAAATGTTGCATGCGCTGTTAAGTGTTAATTATTGAAAACAAAATAACACTTGTGATATACTTTACTTTTTAAAAAATTTAAAAAAAAAAAATCTAAAAAAACTCAAAAAAATAAATCAAATGAACGTGACAGTGATGTTAACCGCCATAAATGTATGGTTATTATGAATAAGAACATTTGATTGTCAAAAACGTAATGAAGAATAGGTATGCTTAGTTTTCAAAAACGCAAAACTATATTGTAAATCCGTTAATTTCAGTATTTTCGCTTAAAGGTGATTTATGAAATTTCAAGCTGTTTTAGTTTGTCATTAATAAATGATATTCTACAGGGTAATCACGTAGCTGAAAGTTGGCTTTCGTTTGCGACGACGACGATAGTTAATAAACGCTTTAATTGCGTTCACCTAAGACTTTCGTCTTATTTTAAATCTCTGCTATTGCACAACAAAACGTACAACTACTTATCGTCAAAATTTAGTTTCCATCTCTTCTATAATAATACAAAAACCGGAGGCGTACTCTAAGCTAAGTTTGCGAATTGGTCATTATCGGCGAGCCATTGATTGTTTCCAGAATATAACAGCTCCAAAGCCATGATTAAATGAATCTGTGAAGGTATTGTTTCTAGTACGTATTTAAAAGCCGCTTGGCATTAAAAATCAATTTTTGGTCTCAGGCGATCATTAGTTGAAATGTTTGTAACCAAATTAGAATAATTCTGTATTCGTAGGCTGTACCTATTTTTGGTGGTACGCCACCAGAAAGTGGATGATAAAGAATTAGAGTACCGTTCAAAGCAGGTAAAAACCCATGTATCGCATTGGATCCGGCTTTCAAAGGACCGTCGCATAGATATACTACGAATTTACACATGTAAAAAATTAGACTTTATAGGGAATCGACATGTGGGTCCCAATCTGGCACGTAAAACTCATCAGTTGTGCATACAGCGGAGTAATGAAACATTTCTTGGGAGGTATTTTTTGTCCAATTTTTTGAATTGTAGGCAATTTTCTAAAAATTCGATTACATAAAGGTAGTGTTTCATGTCTAATATGCATTTTAAACTAATCCTCTCTACTTTCGTTTCAGCATTTAGTAGACTGGTCTCGAGCTATGTTACCTCAAATTGGCAAAATCTGTAAGCAATATGAACAATGGGTACACAAGCCAGTGGATAGGTCCTTACGGCTTTTTGGTCCGTGGTACCTAGAAATGTGTACTAAAACTGCTTGGTGGGTCGTGCCAATATTTTGGTTACCTGTAATCGGTGCTTTAATTTATAATGAAATGTGGGACGTTTTATTTGGCGGCAATGTGCTCAAAGTAGTTATTTATTTTCAAACACAGCTTAAAGTATATAATATGATTATTTTATAAAATTTTCAGATATTATCGCTACTTTTTTATTTTTTGTTGGGTATACTATTCTGGACATTTTTGGAATATGTTTTGCATCGTTACCTTTTTCATATGTCGATCAATAAACGTAGTCATCCGTTGTTATGCAGTTTTCATTTTATGATACATGGCCTACATCATAAAGTTCCATTTGATTCAATGCGTTTAGTGTTTCCACCACTGCCTGGAGCAATCCTAGCTATAATAATTTATGCTCCTTTGTCTATGATAGTACCGCAGCCACGCGTAATATTAGCAGGAGCCCTCTTCGGTTACCTATGCTATGATATGATGCATTACTATTTACACTACGGTAATCCTTCAAACAGACTCTTATATCACATGAAACGTTATCATTATCAACACCATTTTGCTCATCAGAATTTAGGATTTGGTATATCGACTCCTCTCTGGGATACTATATTTAATACGCGCATACATTTAAGAAAATTAAGATTTCGTTTAAAATGGAAATAGACTTGAATTTAGCGTTCAAGAATGCCTTCTTTAATTAAGTGAAAAATAAAATTACGGCTAACTTAACTAAAAACGTTTTTCTTTATTATCACAATTTATAAAATAATTGATCAACAACGTAAACTTACATTAGTAAAACACGCAAAGAGTCCTTAAAAAGTTCACAAGTATTTCATTTCCACATAAGATTGTGGATTAATTTTTACTGCTTATTAAATGATTACTTTGCAACTTGAACAAATCGAACTCCGAATTCAACAGCCGATGATGCTCTCCTCAAATTGCATAACCTAACGAGCCTGTCCCTTAATGTCTTTCAACAAGGATTAACTAAAATATATGTTTAGTGATGTATACTTTTACTCTAATTCTTTTATCACACATACCATTTATTCTTAAATTTTGGAGATCGCCTCCCATGGCCTCTCTTTGGAGCACTTGTTCTTATATTCCCGTTTATCATACAAGCAGTGATGTTTTTTTTTAACCTCACTAATGACTTATTGGACACTACGCATTAGTTTCCTCCCTGAATATGAGGGACGAATTAACTTCTCTAGTTCGAACTGCTTGCTTACAAAACATCTTAAACACGCGACGAATACCGTTTCGCACATTAACTCTTCTTTCGCTTCTTTATAATTGCATTAATTTCATGACCCCTTGGAGAGCCTTTTCCTAATTGATCCACGATTTGAAAATTACCTTTTATTACTTTCTAACAAAACAATTGTGATGAATATATATTTCAACTTTAAAATAAACAGTCTTTATTGGTTGTTTTTCATTTCTAAAAAAATAATACATGACACCAACATATAAACTAAAATTGAAAATCGAATAATACAAAAGAAAGTTTAAAAAAAAACTTCAAAAGAAAAACTTTAAAATTCTTCTTGTGCCTTATTTTATTTTTCTTTTATTTTTTTGTATACATTCAAACCCGTATGATTTATTATTTCTAATCCACTATTGCAAAAACCCAGTATAGTTGAAGTCCCAACCCCAAAATGAGAATAACGCCTCCAAAGCGTTGATGCCATCTTGGCAGCTCCAAGGCTAATTCGCCAGCTACATATGTATTGTCACATACATATCATACATATATATTGTCATATATATGTCATACATATATATTCATGTATCCTCTGGTCCAGCTATTTGTAATAGGTGTAACATAGATTGCGTACGATCTGATATCATACTTTCTGCCCTTTTATCTTTTTATATGAAAAGGCAAAATTGCGTATGTTGAAAATATCAAAGGGTCGGAGACTGCAAACAGATAGACCCACGTGTCATTGAAAATGTAACTAGTACTGCACGAATAAGGGTTTCTATACACTGAAGGAATACACATGTGAGAACAGTATCGGAACAGTGCTTGTATGCTGCTGCCGCTAACTATTCTGATGATGATGACGACCAAACACTTGTAGATATGATCGATGCTGATGCATAACTATCTCCATGACGACCACACACTTGTTATCTTTTATTATATTATACATTAAATTGTCTCGCTTAAATATATTGTTCATGGATAGAATTTTTCACAGTAGAGTTTCGATTTAAATGGCTATAAAAAACGTTCACTCATTTAAATAATAAAGAAAATCCTCATCATTTTTTAAGGGTATTTTTAATTGGAATTAAGTAAATTATAAGAGTTTTTATATGAATTATTGCTGTCTCGTTAATCTTTTATCTAATAATGTTAGGAATGAACCTAGCTCGATGGTAGTTGCAGGTTTTTTATGATTTTATTTTTACTCATTAATACATATCTGTTTTTCGGCTAACTTAAAGTTACACCTTTTTCCTTTTGATTGAATGTACTTGTAGGTGTTTTAATGGTTCTTCCTTTCCTTTGTTTTTCTTTTTTTTAAAAATCCACCTATAGGCGTACATGCTCGCGTGTGCAGTTTTACGCGTTGAAAGATTTTTATGCTAGTAATATATATACGTATATGTTTTCGCAATTTAGTCGTTTTTAATGTTACATTTTACTACTTATTTGTAATTAGCAAACTGTTTGTAACATGTTTATAAAGGTACATTGATATATTGGTTAACATGTTTGTAACAGACAAATATATACTGTTGTTTATGTTGGTGACATACGTGTATATAATATTTCATATGTTTGTAATATATTTCACTTATTCCAATATTTTGATACGCCCATAAATTTTAGCTATATTTTTTTCTTCTTACATTTTTAATGTCATAAAGATGCGCACATATTGTTCATTTGTTATCAATGAATATCTTGTTCGTATATTTTAAGGTTTATATATGTTTATTTCACTATTAACTGCTCTGTTGGTACTATTTGCTTGCAATTTGCTATTTGTTTGTAATTAAAAAACTTTCTTTTATTGATTTTTATTGCACCGCAAATCTTTTAATGTGCTTTTACTTCAATGCACAAAGATAATCGTCAGATATAGTGACTAACATTAATTAACAGTTCAAATCGCATCCAGACTTAATACAATGAATGAAAGTTTCAGAGTATGAAAATTCTTTTTCTTTCTACAAAGAGCATTTTTCTCCCAGCCATGTCAACTTTTCTACTTGTGAGCTACATTTTTAGCAATTGAAATTAACAATCCTTTGCAAAGTTACAAACGTATTTAAAGGCAGCTTTTGAAACTGGAACCTTTTGCTGAAATCTACATGCAACACTATAAATAAATAAATCCAAAAAAGTTTCACATTGTCCGGTAGTGCAAGTGGATTAGAAGCAACTCACAGAGTCTTTCTGCTTTTTGTAACAATTCTCTGTAGCAATGTTCGATCCCTTTCCCTCAATATGTGCAAAATGATCTATCGAAGTATTCTACCTAACGTTTATATATTGAAAAACACCAAACCAAAGTTTGTTAATGTTTAACAATAAATTGCTTACATTTCAAAAATGAGGGTTTTCTTCTTTTGGTTCTGTTTTCCCTTGTTTCTGTGACTAACTCAAACTGTTCAAACTAATTTACATCGCCTTTAGGGTTACAGGGCACAATGTCGATAATTTTTTGTGAATCGCGGCGGGGAAGTCTTTCGACGAAATAGTTAAATAGTTAATAAAAGACTTTTTGGACGGTTTTCGTAACGTGGTTCTTGGGGAGAGAATTTAACTCAAGACTCACCAGTTTTGGTGATTCGATTACAAGCAACAGAAGGAAAGACCTTTCAACATTATAAACTGTACTTCCTCCAGTTGTTTAAATAGACGTACACCAACCTTTTTACACTCCGATGTTTGTCCGAATATTGAAAGTCGATTGGATCTTACTTTTTCAAATTCTACTCCATGAAGTGTTATAAATTTCAAATGAAATGTTTTAAAAGATGTTCGGCTAGATAGCACTGGCCGCATTCCTATTGTTTTAGAGAAAAGTCAATTTTGCCTTTCTTTTTTCTTATTGGTTTTTTGAACCAAAAAAAAATTCATCCAAATTGATTGTTGCAGAAGCGAAATAATGAACGCCATATATAAATGAAAATGAGTAAATTGCAATATCTCTTCTTAAGTGATAATCACATTGAGCAAATCTGTTCCACTCAACAACTTCAGAGTATGAAATTTATTCGTATGCTAAATTTACGTGGAAATTTCCTCTGTGAACTAGCAGCAGTAAGAGGAGAATATATCAAGTGAATGGAGCTTCGCTCTACTTTATGATCAAGTAAATATATTTTATAGGTTATCATCTTACTGCCATAAATATATTTTACCGATCTTCCTCTTGCTGGTCATATATTTAGGTCATCATAGTCCTAAAAATTAACGGTTTTATATCTCGTAATATGTTATTGGATCGCTTATCTGATGTTAATTTAGATCGTGAAATTTCCTCAATACATAACACATTTTCAGCAGAAATCAAAAATTCTGATATAAATTTACATATAACGAAATTTTTCTCTCCAAAATCTTGGTGGAACATCTCACTTTCTGCTATTTTTCGCAGATTGTAAGCTTCCAAGCAAAAATTTTTAAAATATGCCAATTCTACCAACTTTAATTTATTCAAAGAGGTAGATTTGCTGTTGTGAACCTTAAGCTCTGAAGAAGAACTTGTATTAAAAGCTGATATGTAGGTTTTATCGTTTACAGGTGTGATCCATACTTCTTTTATATAAAAAAGAAAAAAATTCAAGAAAAATATTTTAAGTAATTAAATAAATAAACAAAAGTAAAAATCCGTTTAGAATAACAATGAAATTTACGAAAAAGCTAAAATAAATAAAATATATATAATGACGGACACAACATTTGCAAAATGTGGAACCATTTATTAGTGTCAACGAATAATCATAAGAACCTAAGGTTAACCAATACCGTAAATTATTATCAACTTTATAAAGAGCTTTGTGATCGCTCTGTGCTTTCTGTCTATACTGCTGCGGATTACCTGTAGTCAAATCGCTGAATATTCAAGAAGAAGAATAAACTATATTTTTAAAAGAAGGTTTTGGTATTTTTTATACACGTTTATTTCATTTTTAACCAAATTATAGCTAGGAAAATGTTTAGCGGGAAAAAATCGTTTGCAACGAGACAAAAACGTAAGAACAAAAATTCCCGTTTTCGTAGTAATGCTCACGGATTTGCAAAGAAAGGAATTTACGGCCGAGGAACACAAATTGATGAGGAGCAATTCTCTTACTTCGTAAATATACTAGATGCCATGAAAAACGGCTTTGAAAGTGTAGAAGATAAAGGTGATTTTCATATATCATAGATATTTTGCACATTTTATAACTGTTATTATGCTTTTTTAGTAACTATGGCCAATAATGTACTTGCCCAAACAAAAGATCAAGAAGTAAGGTTATCTTCTAATCAAATTGTTTGCAAAGTTTTGGAATCGTTGTTGGGCTTTGCAGAGGCAGAGAGACTGGAATCGTATTTTCAAGCTTTCGCTGAAAACTTTCGGCCATTGTGCTCCGATAGTTTTGCTTCTCATATATTGCAAAAATTAATAGAAATTGCCTTTTTAAGATTCGTCGATGGAGAAAGCCTTAATGTCAGCGACCACTCAGCCAATAAAAAGTCTAAAGTGGACAGTGAACAATTTACGGATGAGCTCTATAATCGTAACAATACTTTTTCAGAGGATCACAAGAGGAATTGTGCTAATTTTGTCTTGAAAACGAGTAAATTTTTGCTTAACAATTTAGAGGACTTTATTTGGGATTCTTGTGCCAATCACATAATGCGAACGTGCATACTAAGTTTGGCGGGCATTTATGAACCAAAAAAAGCCTTTTCTGAAAGAAAAATGGTAGACATACACAATCGCAAAATATATAGTGTTGTGCCGAATGAATGGCATGAAACGTGTAAAGAGTTTGCTCAGCGTTTACAAATGTGGCCACAATTTCCAGATCTTTCTTATCAAGAACACTCCTCAGCTTTAATTGGTACAATTTGTATAGCTTTAAAGGTTTTGGATAAAAAAATGCTAAAGCAGTTTGGCACACAGTTGCTGTTGAAAGCTTTTTTAAAACATGAAAACGATGATAACGATGAATCAAAAGATACTGAATTGTCGGATGCCGTATATGGTGAAACGGAACAAGAAGAAAATCTTAAAGACGTTAGCAAAGCACCGAAAGTTTTTCAACATCAAAGTTCAGTTAGGCTTTTGGAAACCCTGTTAGTAGTCGCTGGTCCCAAATTGAGATCGCAACTTTACACCTTTTTATTCGCCGGCCGTGTGCACATTTTAGCTGAGAAATCACTAACCAATTTTTCGGTGCAAAAACTTTTGCAACATACAAAAGAAAAAGATGAGTTTGACGCAGTTTTTCAGGAATTGAAAGAAAATATAGAAAGTTTATTAAAAATTGGACATACTGGCGTCGTAAAAGCTTTAACAGCGGCTTGCTTGCGTTTGCAGACAAAACAAGCTCAAATGATTACCGCGCTGCAAAATGCTTTGCATGTACCTCCTAGTACTGGTGTTGCCAAAGAAAAATCGAAATTCTTTCTTCCATGTTTACTGAAATTGAAACCTTATGAAATTGTAAAGGACGACAAGAGCTCTTTTGTGCATCTACATGGTTCAATGATAATACAAGATCTGCTGCAATTTAATAAACCTATATTTATAGTTAACTGCATTTTAGAAACTCCTCCTGAACAATTGATTGGCTGGCTCACTACACCAAATGGTTCCTATATAGCCGACGCTTTCTTTCAAAGTAGATTTATTGGCGAGAAGTCGCGTGAAAAACTTATAAGATTATTGGAAGGTTTTTATGTAGAATTGGCCATTTCGAAACATGGTTCACATGTCTTGGAAATGTGTTTCGCTAAAGCTCAAGATAATCATAAAATTGCGATTGTTAAAGAATTAGCGGAAAAAGCAAATATGGCAAAGGGTTCACAATCCGGTCGGATTATTTATTCGAAATTACGCGTGGATACGTACCGTTCGTCGGTCAATCAATGGAAAAATAGTTTGCAACAAAAGGAATCGAAAGCCCAACAACTTTTTAAGGATTTAATAGACGAGTAAATTTCAATAGTCAACCGAGCATCTTATTTTTATATGCAGTGAATTCGACAATACTAGATATTCGTATGAAATCTTCAATATATGTAATAACCTACATGAAATTTTTTGTGCTCGCAATAAAACTCACCTTAAGCTGTTGATTGCTTTTATTAAAACTACTGACTTCTCCTTTCAAACTATCATCATTATAATTATATTTTTTGTCTTGCCTAATAGTATTTTTACAAACTTTATCAATCCATAAATCAATAATTCCTACACAGTCATCGCTTGATATCAATCTTTGCGACTAAACTCCAGAAAGAGAATACTGACTGCACTATTACAACTTGAAGATCAACTAACCGGGAGCGATTTACATCATCGAATCACCAATAAGTCAATAACAATCACCACATGATCTGCATCATCTACTTTCTCTACTATCATCTTTATTGGTGTTATCAAGCTTAAGCTCTACAGAAAAACTTATATTAAAAACTCGTAACATTACTAAATATATTATGTCTAATCGTTTATAGGCCTGAACCATTCCTCTTTTGTATACCAACAAAAAAAAAAAAACTTGCGTGGATGTAAAGTTCATGTTAAATCTGTATCATTAAATTGGGTGGTTTTAATAATTTTCCAAAATATCGCGAAGATGAAAGGCATTTCTACTGGCGTTATTCGCCGATGCTTTGCATAGCGCATGATGAATTTTCATAAAATTATATGCAACAACTTTACTACTGCTTTAATACTGTTCCCGGTATTAAGGTCGATTGGGCTTAAAAGCAGTCTCCATCGAGATGCCAGTGCACCGAAGGGGGATAGTCTTTTATCGTAAGTTTCCTTAATATTATATATATAATATTTTGATCCAGAATTAGGATGGAGGATGCAGTACACATATATATGCATGGTTTCCATCTACAGCACTTGTGAAAGATTACAAATGTTTTTGAAAGCATCCACGTTCCTTTTTCGACTTGTGTGCCAAAGACAAATAAAACAGAGTAAAAAAAAACATCCCGCAAGACCTGCGATGGTTCTAAGACAATCGACCGCACTGTACGTGTGGTCAAATGTGGTCAGAAATAATCCATTCACATTTTGGGTTTCATATAAGCACCTTAACCAGCATCGCGTTTTACATTTACGGCAGCCACAGTAACGCTCCCACATCATTGTTATTATCATAATCCAAATAATTGAATTTTGGCGCTCAAATGTTTTCTTATAAACCTATCAAAGATTGCGAATTGATTATAAATATCATCTTATTAACTATAGTGAATCGCAATAATTAAAATCGTTTCCTGCTTGCAATAAATATATGTTTTTCGTTTTTTCGTGTTTTGTCTCAAGGAAATTATAAGCCAAAGAAACTTTTCTCTTTATTAATTTTATAATTCTTCACAAGCGCTTACGCAAATAAACACTAAAGTTTTTGTGGAGTGAAATTAGCTTCTGTTGGACTGCATTGCATAGCAACGTTTTAGCAACGCACGCAAGTTGTATGTTCAACTGATTTGAGCAAAGCGAGCGTTGCGTTGAGCCCTTAACTAATTCTTATTTACAATATTCTTCTTTTATTTTCCGTCAATAATCATGGCAGCTCTTTTGGCGTCACAAGCATTCGTTTAAAATATTTTTTTGTATTGACTTAGATATATCTTTACAACTGCCTAAAAAAAATTATATTAACTTTACTAAAACAATGGATTTTCAATTTAATTTGCCCTCAAGTAATACGGACCTATTAAATTCGAGTGGCGACAGTTATTATGTGAAGCATTTGTATAGTGCTAATGAAATACCAGATAAATTGAAAGGTATGTATGATCGTCTTATACTGATTTTATATCGTTTTTTTTTTTTTTAAATAATTCTTATAATGTTTATTATGATATGTTTGCTTGCATTAGCCTGCAAACAGATGTTATTTCAGAGTGATCCGTTTTATATTTTCGATCATTTTGATACCTATTACGCGGTTATTGAAAATAAAAGCACAGATGCAGCGGCTATGAAGAATTTGTTCCGTGCATTCGATTTAATGTTTATAACTGTAGACAAATTGGGCAGCAGTTTGGCACCAATTTTAGCGGCTACGGAACCGCCTGCACCACAGCATCGTAAAGGTTATTTAAATTTAACTAAGATGTGTCTATTTCTGTCAGTGAATGTGGTGCGTAAAATTGATGGGAATATAGTACGCTTGCAGCAACAACATCAAAATAGTCAACAAAAGAGAAAAGGCAACAAACTGTTTGATACATTAGAGGAATATCCTGATTGGGACGTTAAACGCAGTAAATTTCTGATACAATTGTATAATTTAATGCAATGTCCGTTACAAAAATTATGGAGTCCACCAGTGGCAGAAGAAAATTTTGTCAAGTAAGTGAATATTGAAATATATAAGAACACAGTTGATTTAAGTGCGTCGTTCGAACCTATATTTTAGTATGTTATGCGAGGTATGTTATCGCACCTTGGAACTGTTGCATGTGCGCAATGACAATCGCCATGTTGTGGAGACTATTTTCCAGATTTTCGGTATCGCCATCAAACGTTATAATCACGCTATAAACTTCCCTGTGAGAATTTTGCAAATTTTGCGTTCTACGGAACATGCCGGTCGATCAGTAGCGTACGGAATCAACATTTTGCATGAAGAATTCGGCATATCCACTGTTTTTTCGGTTCTGATTAAAGAAATAATTGAAAGTTTATCTATGGGTTCAGCCGACACGCTTGTATCACGTTATTTTTCGAACTTTCTTGCGGAACTTGCAACGATTGCTCCAAAACTAATGATACCTCATTTATCTACGTTGGGCGATGAACTGCTTGGGTGTGAATCACATGTATTGCGCAATTGCATTTTACAAATTATGGGTGATGCTGTAGTAGGTGAACTTACTTCTGAAGAACTGCCAGAGGATATGAAAGAAGCACGTGATGAATTTTTGGAAAATTTATTGATGCATATCAATGATATATCAGCGCATGTTAGAGCTAAAGTTTTACAAATATGGAATCACATGAAAGAAGAACAGGCTGTCCCTCTATCTTTTCAGCTGAAAGTTTTATGCGCTGCAGTAGAAAGGCTGGAAGATAAAACATGCTCAGTGCGTAAACAAGCCGTTCAATTAATTAAAGCCTTTCTGGAAAGAAATCCATTTGCAGCAAAACTAACTCTGGCCGAATTGCAGAAAAAATATAATGAAGAGGTAGAGAAAATGGAAAGACTATCAGCATTATTGGCTGCAGAACGAAAGCAGGCGGAGGAACTGGAAGAAAAATGGAGTCTTGTGATACCAAAAATGTTGCCCTTCATAGAAGACATTGTAAAACAAACTGAAGATCCACCACCGACGCAAGAAACCTATGAAGATTTAGTGCAGCGTATTAACACAATGTTGTTGGAAGAGAAATATGAAGAAGCAGTTTCATTAGTGCGAAAAGCTGACCATGTTGCTGGCAATTCAGAACTGAGGTAGGATTTTTTCAAGTCAATTGATGGAAGATAACCGGATAAGCTTTTATGTTTTCATAGGCTTTCGTTAAAAGAGGAAGAACAGTGTGCTTACTATTTGGCTTTGCTGAAATCTTACATCTTTTTGGCCAACGGTTGTAAAGATAGTGTACGTATCAGAAAAATGTTTCGATTTTATTTCTAAGCAAGAAAAAGCATTCTTTTCGACTCCTTCAAGAGTGATAAGATCAGTTCAATGCATTTTCAATATTTCGTTACCTGTCAAAATCGAAATCCGCCAATTGATAACAGTCGCTGGAGGCTGGATATGTATTCCCCCGCGTTGCCTTGGTGAAAAAGCACTTTTTCTTTGCCATTTGCGTTCGTTTTTTGACAACTTCCATCTTCAATTGGACTAAAAGTGCTATATATATATTTATATAATATTCGCTATTCATTTCATTTTGTATCATTTATTTATTTAACATCAAAGTACAAGCCATTGAAGTCGAAAATATAAGTGCAACGCGAAGTGTATTCAATCCTCAAACTTATACCTAAGGACTTAAGTTGCAATAATTCACATATATATATATATATATATATATATATATATATAGACGAATTACTAATCCCACCACCGGAATCATTATCCAATTTATCATTGTTCATTTTTAAAGCATGCTACGTTTGCGGCATCGTCGGCAGTTCAGTAAGCCAACGATAACTGTTATCCTCCGACAGAGAATTATACTTTTTGACCAAATATTGTGTTTGAAGTGCACGATTTTTCCAAACACTTTCCAGTTAAGTTGGATAGATTTTTCTAAAGAAATAATCGTTAGTTCTTAAGATATTTTATTTAATCCTTTTATTTATTTTGTCCTCACTAGACCTTGTCTTGTTATATTAATATTAAGCTCTTGCGTGTAGCCATTTGACTTACGCATATAATTCGAAACTTTTAATTCTATAAAATTATTAATGTAGTTAGAATTTATGAAATTCCGCTTTTAAATACTCTTGCTACATTTGTTTATCCTTTCTTTACTTTTCTTGCACAGAATGAAGAATTTGGTACTCAAATTAAAACGGTAAAATTTTTACAAGATTCCATTGAGTTTTCAAAAGCTATTTCTAAAGCCATGCCCAAGCTTCAAGAAATGCTTTTGTCCAAAATAAATTCCGATGTTTTTGAAGCGGTTGATTTGTTTACAACCGGCTATATGTTCGGTATCAAAGGTACAGAAAATGGTATGCGACAAATGTTGTATTTGGTTTGGTCTTCTGATAAAGAAAAGCGCGATGCTGTATCCGATGCCTATAAAAAGGTTCTATTTACTACTGATCAAACAGGCAGGTAAGTGAAGTGAAACTCTTGAACACAAACAAGTCTTAACTACAATAAAATTGTTTCTCGCCCTTTCTTCATAGGACACATGCTTTGCATGTCGTGCAGAATCTCTCTCGGTTCCTAGAAAGTCTCGAATATGGTCACTACACTGCAATGGAATGCTTAATGAAAGAATGGGTTCACAATGAAGACATTGATAGCTTAATTATACAAGTGCTATTTGAACGCTTTACTTTGAAATTGGAAGGCACTACAGAAAATGAGTCGCGTTTAGCTTTACAGTTATTGATAATGTGTTCTTACGCGAAGTCGTCAATAGCGTCAGCCAATATTAGCATTATTGAAAGTATCGGTTTGGGTTTGCGAGGCAAACAAGATCCTCGTATCTACAGCGGCTGTTTGGAGTTTCTACTAAACTCAATCGACCAATCATCGGCAACAAAATACTACAAACGGTATGAAGCCGATCACAGCATAGTACAAAAAGTCACTGAAATGTATTCAAAGTTCTTCTTTCATCCTCGAATACCCGATTTTGATCAAGTTACAATGAAAACATTGCAATTTTATTATCGATTATGTCAGACCCCAGACGTGATTTCCCAAACCCTGGTTTCCGATATATTAAAGCAATTTAAAAAGTTTGCTGTTCAATTGGGTGAGATGACAGCGTCTCAACACGCCCAGTCCCTTGAGACTCCTTTTTCACAAGCTATACCGGGCACGCAATCGCACCTAACAGTGGCGTCTCAATTGAAAATGCCGGTGTTCCTTTTAACTCGCTTCATTTTCATGATTGGTTATATGGCATTGAAGGAAATGATATTTCTTGATATCGATGTTTACAATAACATGAAATACCGCCAAGAATTAGCAGAATGTGAACAGAAGAAAAAGAAGAGCGCTTTCACGAATTGTAATGAAAACCGCCGCAAAACGACTAATTTAAATATGTCTGCCACCGAATCGTTGAAACGTTTAACAGGCGCGGCAGCCGAACCGCAGCAGGAGGTTTGTTTTAAAAAAACAGCAAATAAAAAGTAGGAATACTTATAAGATGCTTCTTTTTTACAGCCTGACGAAGACTTAGTAGGTGCTACTGCTGAAGATAATGTGGCGGAATTAATCAATCATATCTGCGAGGAGATTTTATTTCATGACGAAAATGCTTTATTACCGAAACTGTTCCCCTACATTTTAGAGATTTGTAAATATCCATTTAAATATCGTGATCCGACGTTACAGCAATCAGCCTCTTTGGCTCTTGTACGTTTTATGTGCGTTTCATCACGAGTTTGTGAGTCTTATATGCCTTTCTTGATGAATATTCTCAGTCATACCAAAAATATCAAAATCAAATGCAACATTGTGATCGGCCTATCAGATCTCACATTTCGCTTTCCTAATATTATTGAACCATGGACTGGTCATTTTTATTCGACATTACACGATGAAAACACAGAGTTGCGTTTAACGGCAGTGAAAATGTTATCCCATCTAATCCTGCATGAGATGATACGCGTTAAAGGCCAAATCGCGGATTTAGCAATATGTATAGTGGATGATAATGACGCGATTAAAAATATAACTCAACAGTTCTTTAAAGAAATCGCGAATAAATCGAACATTTTATATAACGTGTTACCGGATATCATTTCCAAATTGAGTGACAGTTCCTCGAATCTAGAAGAAGAGAAATATCGCATAATAATGCGTTATATATTGGGCCTGATACATAAAGACCGTCAAGTCGAAACCTTAGTGGAAAAGCTTTGTCTACGTTTTCCGGTAACTCGTGATGAAAGACAATGGCGTGATATAGCTTATTGCCTAAGTCTGTTATCGTACAATGAAAAAACTATCAAAAAATTGATCGATAATTTGCAGTATTTTAAAGATAAAGTACAAATCGATGAAGTCTATCAGTCGTTCAAATTAATAATCAGCAATACCTCAAAATTAGCTAAACCCGAACTAAAGACATTAATCGGTGAGCTCGATACTCGTATAAATGATTGTTTAAAGATAAGAGAACCTACAAATGAGGATGAGGAACGTAACAGTGAAAATGATAAAGAAACCGGTAAAAAGGTAAGATATTCAAAGAAAAAATCTGGCAAAGCTTCAACGCGTTCCAATAATCGGCGAAGACGTGGAAAACAAGATTCTTCAGAATCTTCATCAGCTCATGAGTCCAGTAACTCATCAAGCGATTTTGAAGATGAGCCTCCTAAAAGTAATAAGAATAAGCAAAAACCACGCAATAAAGTTATACAAGAAACAGCCAGTTCTGATGAAGAAGAATTACAAATACCGAGAAGGAAACGTGGCCGTAATAATAAATGAGTGGACCACATCTTAAAGGAAATAAATGAACTACTCGATCATGGCAGCAGACGTTTTTCATTTCACAAAAACAAAAAAATTTCGTAATTAAAATAGTTTTTCGGTTAAAAGGTAACCTGTTGTTATGCACAAGATTATGCACAAGGTTACCTTTTCAACGATACTTACGCTAATTGTCCTCTTAAAGAGTAAGTTTCTTAAAAATTGTCAGTTCGAGTATAGTATTATGAAGCTAATGATCGCTTTAGGCCATTAATTGGGATGAACTTGGCTCTTCCCCGCCCTCGTAGGCAAAAAATTATGCTGTCCGTCCCACCAAAACAAATCCTTCACATTATTGTATTGAGATTGCTTGTACCACGTCCGTTCTTATGGCAGCCTGGCAGAATTGCATCGCAATGTTTGGCGAGTGCATCTGTTTGCATCGCAATGTTTGGCGAGTGCATCTGTTTGCATCAAATTTTCGTGCCAATAAGAAATTGGTATTTATAGTAGGCCAGCTCATGGTTGACGTCAATCTTTTCTACTTTCTCCTTTTGCACCTTATTTGCTTCTTTCCAATTTTGCTTCTCATAGCCGTCATTGATATCAAAGTATGGAAGAGTTGGCGGAGATTTTGAGGAAAAGAACCAAATTCTATTCTTCCTACGTATTTTAAGATGAGGACTGGGAACTGTACCATATTACTATGACCGTAGCTATCCCTTAATTGCTTTAAAGCATTTCCTACCATGAAAAAAAGCACACCTTTTCTTCGGACCATATTAAGTCCTGACGCTGATAGCGTTTAGTTTAAAAAAAAAACCTAGTTGTAAATAAATAAGCGGCGCTTATACAGTTTTGTTTTTTGTGCTTTAACTTGACAACTGATCGCTTAGAAACGAGAGCAGGAAATCAGTTTCAATTGATTGTGATTTCTTTTCAAACATAGAAGTGCTCAACAACAATAATTTCTCCGTCTTTGGGGAAAATGATTTTTGTGAAAATACCATACTCTTTCAAAAATTTCATTCGAAGTTCTTCTCAATTGTTATTAATAGTCAATAATTATAATAATTAATTATTGGCTTCCTTACGTTCACATTAAATGCTAATACAACAGTAGAAATATTCCTCACCTCATACGTGTGCTGTAAAATTTACAAAAGTGACACTTTTTTTTTATCTTTCTTTGTTTTACCTTTTCATTTGATAAGATGAAACTTTTGAAACGTCGGGTCACAACTTTTTCATTAATAGTATTCTTGTGAAGATGTATGTTGATCTTCGTATGAAAAATCTCCGTTTATTGTTTGTAGGCAAAGTTTTTGTATTAGTATTGGAGACACCATCGCAAAGTCCAAGTAATTGAGTGGGAATCTTTGTATGGTGAAAATAGAGTTTCGAGATTGCCACTCAAATCAAAATTTGGGAGAATTGCTTCGCAATGGGAAACAAAAATTGTGCGAAAAACATGACGCGTATTATGATGCAATGTGTTGTTAAAGGGATAATGGTTCCGACTGCCGTGTCACCTATTGTAGAAAAGCATCTGTTTGCAGAAATTGATAGAATTCTTGCTCTAGGAGTTGGAGAGAAATCCGAAAGCCCTTGCATCTCACCTGTTGCTCTAGCTAGCAAACCAAAAAAAAAGCTCGATTTTGTTTAGACCCCCGAAATGTGAACAGTGTCGCGGTAAAAGTCGCTTATCCTTTACCATTGCTATATAGATAGGGAGTGCATTACCAAAGGTAAAATTCATTACAAGCCTCCATCTAAAAGATGCCTTGTGGCAAATGCCATTAGATGACGATACCGGCGTTTACAATGTTTGAATAAAGCGATTCATCAAGCATTTGTTTACATAGATGATTTGCTAATTGTTTCTGGAACCTTTAATGAGCATGATAAAATCTTGTCTGAGATTTCTTTGAGTATGCACAAAGCCAATTTAACGGCCAACACCGAGGAAAGTACAATATAATTTAACTCACCTATTTTAAAACTCGCCGAATTTTTATAATTATTTTTTTTTTGTAGAAAAAAAAAAAAAACTAAACAATTAAATAACTTTTAAACTACCAATCTTTGTGTGTGATATGTGACCATTCATTTCGAAGGACTTGAAAATGCGTTGCAGCCTATTGAGAGTCTTTTACTTCAATTGTGATAGGAGATACAGAAGACTTTAGGATTTTTCGTTGTTCTTTAGAGCTTTGACTTGTTCTGGAATTATCACGAAATCTTTGCAATTCTTGAGTTCTGCTGCTCAGATCCAGGCTATCGTACAGTAATTTCTGGTATCCGCAGGCCCCTTCTCAACAGTTTAAAACGTATCCGGAACGATTTTAACAAATTTTCCAATTGTTTTTTTCTTTGAATATTGACTGATATGAATTTATTTGAAAGTCTTTTAAAGTACAAATTTTCTATTAGCAATTTAAAAGATTTTTTTACACAAATTGTAAACGAGAAAATTTTTCTTTCTCTTTTTTTTTTCAAATTACTTCCAACTCAAATCAAAACTTCTTTTTCGTTTTTTTCAATCGCCTACTCATTTTCCTACACACGTTCTTATTATTAGGTGCCAAGATGAAAAGAAAACAAATAGGATTATAACATTATTGCTTTATATTTTTATTATATTATGTTTTTTAGTAATAATGTTTAAGAATGATTACTGGTCTGTCTCCGGTCCGGGGGCTTCTTCTCAGCCCTCTGCCTCTTTCATTGCGAGGAGAGCTTCTACTTGGCCCTCTGTCCCTTTCATTGCGAGGGGGCTTGTTCTTAGCTCTCTGCCC